CCCGGTTCTGATAACCACCTTTGTTTTTACCATAGTGGCTCAGAAATTTCAGGTCAACAGGGAGTGGCGTTGGCGCTGAGCAAGCGCGCCAACGCTGCCTTACTCTCTTATAAACCAATATCGTCCAGGATCGCTGTAGCGCGCTTCAAAGGTAATCCTGTTAACTTCACCATGGTAGCAATTTACACCCCTCTACCATCCGACAGCGCAGTGAAGGACGAGTTTTACAGCAGTCTTCAGGAGGTAGTAAATCTGGTCCTCAAGAGAGATGTACGAACACGGTGACAGCCTAATTAATTTCTCCGATTTTAACCGGGTCTTTTAACTAACAGGTTGCCAGCACCGTAAGGAGCAACTTATTACCTGGTACTCCAACACGGCATAAAAGCCCACCAGATCGACTATATATTGTTACGTTCACGCTGGATCTCATCAGTAGAAGACGGTAGATCGTATCGCGGTGCCGAAGCGGGCAACAGAGGTGGCTCTGGTCATATGCTGGTTCGTGCGAAACTTCGCCTTCGGCTGAGTACTCGTGTTAAGACCACCCCTCCAAGTGTTTAGAGAGGACCTAACCGCCTTGCAAACAGCTCTCAACCGTATCCAAAGATTTACCACTGATGTCGGCCTTGAGATTAATCCTAACAAAACCAGGATGTTCGCTGTTCCACCTGATCAAGCGGAACATCACTTGCAACTGGGTGGTCGAACAATAGAAATGGTATTGGACTGCCAGTGCCTTGGGTCCACCTTCCTGCCTGATAGACAAACCAAAGGTGATCTAAAGCGGTGCATTGACACGGCTCGAACGGCGTTTCTGCAGCTCCGAAACACCCTATGGCTCCGGAACGGGATCAGTCTCGAAAACAAGCTCAGGGAGTTTGCCACAGCAGTTCGACCAGTCCTACTATATGGCTGAGAAACCTGGCTGCTGAGAGTTGAGGACATCCAACACTTGGCGGTCTTCGATCACTGGTGTCTTCGATTTATCCTGAAGGTAAGCTGACGGGACTAAGTTTTAAACTCGGACCTCAGAAGTCGCTGCCACGTTGCCCATTTTTCACCGCACATACCACGCCGCTGACTGCAGTGGCTGGGCCATGTTCTCCGCAGACCCGACAAAGCTTTTACAAGTATTGCCTTCGCTCCGTCACCTTGTCCTGGCTGGCTCCGCCGACAAGTAGGGGGGGGGAGGAAGGGAAAAGCTGACGGAACAATATTCGAAGACGTCGACAAACTTGGCCTTCGAATGGCATACGGTGCCCGCCGATGGAAAACCAACTGAATCAACATTTGCGAGAATCTTGCAGTCAATCGCCAAACATGGACGGCGACCATCAGAGACAATCATGGGGCCGGTCTATCCTTTCCAAGGAGCCAGTCTTAGTAAAGTACAGTAATTCGCCGGTTCATTTGGGCATCAAGGCGTATCGGGCTTCTTGGACGTTTGATCCCGTCCAAAGGTCGTATGATCCGATAAACTGGACACCGACCCCCACTGGATTGCGGTTTTCACAAACTGCCCAGCTGCCTTGCGGGTTGTAGCGGGATGTAGCTAGCCAAAGGCTCCGGTTGTGGGTTCCTCAAGAAAATTCATCTGCCTTACAGTATTCCGCTCACATGCTAATCGTGGAAATTTTTCTTTTTATAGAGATTATTGTGCCATGATCTGTTTGGCACAGTCTGAATTCAGACGTGTGTGAAAATATAAAATATACCCCAGGCCAAAGGTTTGAACCCCACCTCTGCCACCTAACTTTGGTTGTAGGTCTATTCTCTGTCGCCCGGCTCAACACCACAATTGACCTCTCAGGACCTTATGCGGCTCGAGACTTATTCTTGGCCAGTTTCCATAAGTAACCTGCTGGTCCTCGTAACTGTGTCGTAAAAAGTCGATGTTACTGATCCGAAGATGCAGCCACAGCCTTGGAAAAAGTGTATCTGTCGTTGAATAGCTTACCAATATTTTGTTTTTTATTACACAATTTAATGTGATGAGCAGCAGAGTTTCAGTATCAGTTTTTACAACCGTTAACCATGCACTTCCGTGCGCCGGTTTTGATTGCTAACTTTTGGTTGCCCATTTGGATAAAGGAGCAGAATGAAAATGACAATGTTGGGAGCAAATTCAACCGGAAGATAGAGAATTCCTATAGACTGATGTTACAAGAATAATGAGTAGATGTGTGTTACTGTTTGCGGCTCCCAGCCATATCGCTCAGAGTTTCTAACCATCGGTGACCACTATCTCGGGGTCCCCAGCCAAAGAGCCCAACGCAACCTATGTGACCGAGTCTCGTTAGGGTTTTTATACCCTCATTCCAGGTCTCAGTTTGGCCACCCGATGAACAGAGTGAACCCCTTTGTCACGAGAACCTGCTGTTCAGTCATAGAAATCCGACTCTTGAATTTACGCTTGTTGAATCGTTCTTGACGACGACCGTTCTTCGCTACAAGTAGCCCTCGTATCGATTATGCTCTGCAAATGACATCGACATCAGCTTACTGAGAAACAAAATACTTTCCACCCCTCCCAGATCTTTTAACGCGTCAGTGAGAATTCGATTAACCAGATGGTATCCTTGGTTTCACGATGCTACCAAACGGCCTGGCAAACGAGAAAATGAAACCGCTTATACTGTTATATATATATATATATTCAAAGTGGAGCTTCTTCGTGTATATGAAAAATGAAGCGTAAAGTGAATAGAATAGAAGAACTAGACAGCTGTTTCGACCTGCGAGTCCATCGACCCAACTGGGGATCGAACCCGGGGCGTCATGGGCAGAACGCAAGCCCACTATCCACTCAGCCACTGAGCAGCTGATGAGACCGTTTTTCATTTTCCATTTACACGATATAGCACGAACCGTCTGTACGAGCTTGTTGCAGACCACAGACCTCGCTCATCTCAGCACCAGCCTCCGGGGGTTACGACTCGGTTGGAAACAATCACAACCTGACTACTTAATTCATGTGAGTGATGAAGGATTTGTTTCAAATTCCACTAAAAATGTTGTGCTCTAAAGCATCAGGAATACGTAGCATAGTTTAACTGTGAATCAGCTCTGCTCAGCTTGTTGATTTTATGAGTTATTTTTCCTCACATTGATACCAGTCGTTTGTTCGTGCCGGCCAATTTCGCATCGTTCCACTCAGAATTGGTTTTTACACTATTGCGAACTACTGGTTTATATGGGAGTATTCCGCGAGGTGCAAGGCACGGGTGACCAGCTGGAACCCTAGACACTCCCCCGATCATACTGAGGAGTTCAGAGGCTCAGATGGCTCAGGTCAATACAGGTAAGTTTTCTTGGGGAATTCCGGACTAGAGCCTTAGGTTAGCCAAAGCCTGATCCGCAAGGCAGCGGGGTAGTGTAAAAAAACAATCCCTTGAGGGACCGGTGTTCAGTTCATCAGATAATACGCTCTTTGTACGAGGTCAAACGTTCAAGGTGCCCAATACATCACATCCCTTAGGGGGGGGGGGGNGGTGTGCTGTAGACCCTGTGGCCCGAGGTTCGAGCCCCGTTATCGCCACCCAACTTTGGTGGTAGGCTGCTTTGCTGTCGCCCAGTTCTATACCACGCCTGACCTATCGGGGCCTAATGTGGTTCACCACTCCATGTCCCGGGGCTTAGGTTGCCGGTTACCATCTCTGAATAGCAGGTCTACGTGATGATGATGATGGGGTCCGCCGTATTCGTTGTCACACATTGGTGTGTAATAAAATAAATTGAGCCTTTGATCACTTCCACAATCAGGAAGGTGTGTGGTTCGTACACCTCTTCCTGGGGGAGGCTACGGTTGCATTCTCACAGTCTAGTAACATTTTGGACACAGTGAAAGAAGCCTCACAAAAATGTGTGGATCAAGCCACTATCTGATCGGTGTTCTCCAGTGGATGTAAAGCCGATAAGAGCTAAGAATATCAGCAAATGGGGATGTGTTCCAATNACAGCATGTTCATGCAGCACTGTTTTGAAACAAATGACTTGTCCTCGTTTCCCCGACGCCACTGATCTTATGTTCGCCGGTTACCAAAAGTCGAACGTCTGAGACGGCCTTCACCTAGTTCCGTCCATTGGATTTCGTTATCACGTGGGAGCCCAAACGAAAACGTGGATTAGCGTCAACA